CGCTCGGGAACTTGGGTACGATTGGGGAAGGTCACTTCGTGAGCACCCCCGCTCGCCCGGTCAAAGACCGGCCTCTACTAACCATGATATCAATTTTTGAAAACATTGTATTTATTCCGGTTATTAGCCTAGGTTACTATGTGATGCTCGCAGCATATAAGTATAGACCGGGTCGCCCGAATTGGAACGAAACATTTCATGTTTGTTTGTTTGAAAATGGTTTGATGGTGCTACCCGCGGGTAGGCTAAGACGTGGATTTGCCACCCTTAGGTGGGCTTAGAAAAGATGGTTTTGCCACTATCTAGTGGGCTTAAAACAAACAGTTGATGATTTATTCCAATCCAAGTAACCCAACCTTCACCCACAGGCATTTAGGCAGATATGTCACATATGCAATTAGCCTCATGGTAAGCATGCTATCATGGCAATCATTCACACACATGCGAAGATGCTAAAGCATAAAACTCACCGAGTACTCCAAGCCAAAATAGAAACTACATTAGAAATCATGCATGAATCCTAAGTATACAGAAACGCCTAATGCAACACATGCAAAATGCAACTATAGTAGGCTCGGCTATTCTAAGATGGCATATGAAATGCACAACTATCATGTATTCAACTTGTAATTGAAAATGCAATGCAGTTAGTATGATGCGCCGAGCCCGGTGCATGCAAAACAGATGAATGAATGCAAACATGCTATCATACTGTATGCTAATTGAAATATGCCCTAATCTAACCATCATAAGCGGATAAATAAAAGGAAGAAAGACGTGGGGTTGGAAGACATACATCACACTCACGCACACTTATTACAGTGTGCCCTCGCGTAGAGGGTCCGAATAAATAATACAGTCCCCAAATAAAAGAATATTACAGTCCCAAAATATTACAGTCCAAATAATATACAAATTCCTAATTAATTAACAGATTAATTAAGAAAAATGTAAAAACTGGCATGCAAGCCAGGGACTGCCTTGCTTCGGATGGATGATGCATGTCCGGGTCGTCTTGCGCGGAAATCCACCGGAATGCCCCAATTAGCCTCTGTTTACACCTGTTCTTGAAATGCGTGCCAAGCCCCAAAAGGTTGCTGATTCTTCATTTTGCTGCAACAGAGAGCAGGAAAGGGGCATAGCAATGTATTTGCACAGATATATGCATGTCTCGATCCTCGTGCCACCAATCACGCATATCGAGGCATGATGGCCGAGGAGTCGAAATGCACAACTCAATATAGGATGAATGCACATGAAACTACAGCTAAAACCTAACTCCATCATGGATAATCCGGAGTGTCGGTGACTGGGGAATTGAGACACATTCCGTCACTGGAGTACGAAATGTACCTCGTTTCCCGTGCCCGGGCTAACTCCTATTCCGAACACGATGCAATATGCATGATATGCATGAAATGCAACTAATATATAATCCTAACATGCACAATGCTATGGAAATGAAATGTCTCAAAATGCGTGCACACGGGAACGCAAACGAGAAAATGACAGAATGCAATCTAAGATACAACCTAGTATGCACTATGCTATTAAAATGATATGCCTCGAAATGCGCGCACACGGGCACGCAAACTGGGAAATGGCAGAATACGATGAAATGACATGAAAACATGATATGGACTTTAACCAACATGAGTGAGCCTCAGCCACACTCACATAGGATGTCGGCGGATGAAAATGGAGTGCCTCAAATGCGTGCACACGGGCACGCAAACCGAGGCGATGACAGAATGCGATGAGATGACATGAAAACATGATATGGACTTATACCAACATGAGTGAGCCTCAGCCACACTCACATAGGATGCCGACGGATAAAAATGGAGTGCCTCGAAATGCGTGCACACGGGCACGCAAACCGAGGCGATGGCAGAATGCATGAAATGACATGAAAACATGATATGGACTTATACCAACATGAGTGAGCCTCAGCCACACTCACATAGGATGTCGGCGGATGAAAAGGAGTGCCTCGAAATGCGTGCACACGGCACGCAAACCGAGGCGATGGCAGAATGTGATGAAATGACATGAAAACATGATATTGGACTTATACCAACATGAGTGAGCCTCAGCCACACTCACATAGGATGTCGGCGGATGAAAATGGAGTGCCTCCAAATGCGTGCACACGGGCACGCAAACCGAGGCGATGGCAAAATATGATGCAATATGCAAAAATGATATGAAGCATGCTAATGGAATTTCAGCACTAAAATATGTGGGAAAAAAGTCCCGAAATGAGGCGAAAATGATACCAAATGCATGGAATTGTCCCGAAATGTGAATTTAGGCACCCGAAATGGCCTATAGCTATGCCAAACATGCACAATATGGACATGCAATGCCAAGACAGAAGCTAGACAGTCCCAAAAAATGCACTTTCACAGTTATAAACATGGCCAAACAGAAGCATAGGTATGGAAAAATAGCATGCAAGAATAGGGGCCAAAAGAGGGTAATGAAGCAAGTGATATAAGTAAAATCCAAACTGAAAACTTTCCTTCTAAAAATTGAAAAGGGACCAAAAATATGAATATTTACAGTTTATGGAAGCCTCAAAATCAGTATACAAACAATGCTAAAAAAAGGCACAAGATTGAGGCTCAAAAGGTGCTATAACATGAAGTATGCAAAATAATCGCCAAACAGAAAAAAAGTGTTAATGAAACATGAATATAGGCAAAATAAGTCCACTTTCAGTTCTGTGAAGAAAGCCAAAAACAGAAGCAAAGGGGGCTACCAATTTATGCAAAAATGGAGCCAAATTAGGGATATAACTACAAGTGACATATGGAGGCACCAAATGGTGAGGGGCCCTTCAACAATGTTGAAGAAGGGCCAAAATAAGCACATTCACAGATTACATTATGCTCAAAAACAGATTAATCATGGGCCAAAAATAGCATGCAAGATTATGACATATAAGAGGATTAATGAAGCAATGTCATCATGGAGGGATCAAAACAGGGTTGAGCCCTTAATGAAAAGTGAAGATGAGCTCAAAAGAGGGTCACTTTCAGTTTTTGGCGGAGCTCAAATGTATAAGAAGGAGAGGCTAAGAAATATTGCAAAGAAAAGCTCAAAAAAAGAGAAAATGGCAACTCACCTTTGGAGACAAGTCTTTTGTTGCTTCTTGGACCAATTTGCAGCTCCTTTAGCCTTTGAGAAGCCCTCCTTGCTGCTGGAAATGAAGTGGTGGGGTAGAGCTTGGTGGTGTAGAAGAAATGATGGTTAGGGACTTAGGGTTTTTTCAAGAAATGAGAAGGGGAAAGATGGAGTTGTGTAAGGAGGCTTAAAGGAGAATTT